TTCCCTTTTTACCCTGTTGGAGAAGTTTTTGGATGTGCATAGGGATTTGAGTCTTAGAAGATCCCATTCATCTATGTTATCTTCTCCTGGTTGTAGGTTATAATGAACTTTTACATGCTTTAGGAATCATATTCTTCATATCTTCCCACAGCTCATCTAGTCTTCAGGTCATTAACAGAATGCACTCAATCAGGACAGCTTCCAAAAGTTAGGACAGGTTGTAGATGCCTCAGACTTGAGCCTCTTAACCTTAGTGTAGTTTTACAGAGCTTTCATTCCTACCAATTATAACTTTCCTCCCCACCCTCACCATGCCCCGGAGTTGTCCAATACACTTAGGCAAAGACTCATAGCTCTGGTTCCAGAGAGTAGCAGTCACAAGATCTGTGCCGTCTCACATCAGGTCTCTGGACTGTAGTTTCAGCTGCTATGGTTGTTGCTCTCTTAGGCCCTGCTCTAAATGGTGCAAGAATCTCTGGCTCTGGATAGTGTGCTGCATTCTTTTGCTTCTTCTTTGCTGGTGGTGAAGTTTTCCCACTATGCTGCTGGATTTGCTCAATTTAATGGTGAGACTTGCCAACCCTTTTGTAGATTGGCAAAACTAATCAATCCCCTTGGGAATAGGCTAACATATGATATTCACATATTCCTATCTTCGTATCTTTTCAAATTACATGCAGACCAGATCATTCTGGAGGCTAGATTTTATGAGGAAGAGTGTGGCAGCAAGGTTGGAGGAAGACTCATCAACAACCTGCATTAGGCAGATGATACAACCATGCTTGCCGAAACTGAAGAGAACCTGAAGCATTTGTTCCCTATGGTCAAGGACTGTAGTCTTCAATATGTGTTGAAGCTCAACATCAAGAAGACAAATATTCTCACCATTGGACCAGATGGAAGCGCCATGATGGATGGAGAAGAGATTGAGGTTGCTAACAATTTCAGCTTGCTTGGCTTCACAGTCAACACTCTTGTCAACAGCAGTCAGGAAATCAAAATACAAACTGCTTTGGGGAAGTCTGCTCTCAGGGAACCTCTTCAAAGTGCTAAAGAGTAATGGTGTTAGGCTAGAGACTAAGGTGTGCCTTATCCAAGTCATGGTATGCACAATTAATTACTTGCTATATGGGCTTTTGTACATAGGGTTGTTATGAGTCACAAGCGACTCGATGGCACATAACAACAACAACAGCAACATATGTCAAAGAGCTGGCAATAACTAAAGATTGCAGAAAAAGAATTGATGCCTCTGAGTTTTGGTGCTGCAGAAGAGTATTGAAAATACCATGGACAGCCAAGCAAACAAACAAGTTTGTCTTAGAGAGGATGAAACCAAGTTTCTTCTTGGAGACAAAGATTATGAAGCTCTGTCTCACTTACTTAGGCCACCTGGCCAGGAAAGACCAGTCCCTGGAGTAGGATATCATGTTTTGAAGGGTTGGGGGACAGTAAAGGAGAGAAAAACCCCAGACTCTGAGTTGACATGGTAACTGGGGTAATGGGATTAGGTGTTTCAGAGTCAAAGAGACTCCCTCTCTGACTCCTATCTCATGATAGGTCAGGACTCAGAGCTATTGTACATAGGCTTTCTACCTGTGACTCGATGGCATATAACGACAACATCCACATAGCAAAGTCAGTCAATGGCTAGAAGCCATTTTGAATAATAAACTGCTAACACCACAGAAACTGTGTTATAAAGGACTTTTCTTAATGAGTAAGAAAAAGGAAAGAGTTACACAGTGAACCCAAAGACAAGTCCTTCAAATTCACCAGTGGCTCCAAGAAAGAAAGAGTAACATCTCCTTCCATGTGATTACCAGTATCTGCAATCCTGCTGGAGGGTCAGCTATGAGTTGATTCTAATATAATTAGAATGCAATGGGTCATTGTCTTTTGCTGCTGATCAAGTCAAAGTCCCAAATTGTTGCTTTTGAGTTAGTTCTTTTTTTTTGTTTCTTTCTCTGAATGTTTACTAAGCAGCCAGAAGGTGACATACACCATCCCCAAGTCCCAGCCCCTGAGCAAAGCAGGTCAGGAGAAGAGCCTATAGACCAAAGAGAAACTAGAGCAAAGGGCTTGGCAAGATGCTTGCTCCTATCCTTGGTCTAGCTGCCCCAGAATTAAGGGAGGGCCAGAACAAACAAGCCACTCCCATCCAGATTAGATGAGGCCAGTTGGCCTTTGGATACCCCAGGAAGAGGTGGTGGCAGCAGCGGCTTGAGGGAGCCCTCTATAATTCCACACACTGGGTCATCTGTGCAGGATCAGATGTCCATTTCAAATTGTGCGTCATCGGGTATCTCTTCCTCTGTCTCCTTCTCCTTCAGCTCCTCCAGCTTGGAGAGTGGTGCTATTGGAGTTGTGACCCCGGGAATCTGAGGGAGGCAACAGGGAGGTGTCTGGGCAATGGGAGAGTTCTTGCACTCCAGCAGGAACTTTCGGTCATAGATGATCCTGGTGCCTCTGATTTGGAGAGGCCACCATTGGCTGTCCAACTCTCTTCTTCGGTCTTGTTAGCTGAGGTGATGGGATTTCCCCTTTGAGAGCAGGGACTGAAGGAAGCAGACTGGCCTGCTGGGCATCAGTGCACTCAGCTGAATTTTGGATAACTTTTATCATAGGGTTCCAAGCAGGATCTGGG